AATTTAATCTTAACATAAAGTAGAACAGGTTCAAAAAACAAAATCATGAACAAAAATGGAAACTGTTATGAATTCAAAAATGAAACTGATAAAACGTTTGAAACGAGTTGAAAAATTAACAACCAAAATCTCCTGAATTCGTCTTATGAGCAGGGAAGGTTGGCTCTAGCAGGCAAGGTGGGCTATACTGTTGGTGATTCTGGCAAGGTTGGCTGTACTGCGCAGGCAAGTTTGGCTGTACTGTCATTGATCACACAAGGTTGCCTGTACTGTCGGTAATTCTGACAAGATTGGCTGCACTGAGCAGGCAAGTTTAGCTGTACTATTGTTGAGCAGGTAATGTTGAGCATGGTAAGGTTGACTGTACTGTCGGTGACACTGACAAGGTTAGCTGTACTGAGCTGAATCTAAATAGACTCTGTCCCACTCCTCTTCGCTCACCACGAGATCTATTCTAGTGTTCTGTTGCGCCTGAAATTACAACGAAAAATAGTCAATTAAAAACTCGGCTAAGTGCACGCCGATCAAAATAAGAATTTTGGTTAAAACATAATAGTTAAAATCAAAGATGAATATTTTCAGACTACTTTCTGCTACATGAAGACACTAATCGACAAATATGTTGTGTTTAACTGCTGTGGTCAAATACTGCTTGAGCAACCTTGTCTCCATAGTCAAAGTGCAGTTGCTCGATAAGTAAAATGTCTCTCCTGACTTTTCAGATGACTATTCTTTCACCTTTTGCGGAAAGTACAAGTTCAATTTTCCTATTGGCCTCGTTTTTCTGGATCACGTGGTTCGCTGAACGACCCAGGCAAACATTCAATTTATGTAATTGGCAGTCCTCATTTGAAGCGTCAATCATTTGCTCAGCAACTTCCCAAACGTATTCACTCAGAACTCCTGGCTGCAGGCATTACTGGTCGGCATTGATAATAGTGACTACTTTGCGATGGTAATCCACTAACATTTTATCTTTCTTAACTCATTGCGAAGCATTCAAACCTTGTAAAAAAGAAAGTCAAATCGTACGTGTACCCTTCCAATTTCTGGTGAACTTCTCGAGCTTGCATCTACAGCTTCTACATCTCAAACCTAGGATTGGTAGACAAAGGCACTCGCAACCTTACGAGCGAGTGAGTGCTTCGTCTTATCCAGGCACACGATGCTAATCTAAGCAAAAGTTTAAAAGATTACATGTGATTCTATGTCGATTTCTATTTTGATAATTTGTTTCCTCCCTGACGTTTGAACTGATCGAAAATGAATTGTTGAACAACAATTGAGTTATAACCAGGTTTTGGGTGTATAATAGAATTGCATACCCTTTACCAGCCAGAGTGGTCTGCTGTGGGAGACGCGAGAAGTTGAAACAAAAAAATTGAGTCATCAAGTAGAGTCATCAGTATATTTTCATCAAAACACTATTTTAGATTTTTTAAAAATACTTACAGGCTGCTGGTTTTATGCTCAGCTCCGCGGTATCGTCTTCGATGACTTTTGCCTCTCTGTTGACAAAATCCTGGACGACAACATGTACCGTGGTGTTGACGATCATCTTCTCGAGCATCCCTGTGCATGTGAAACGTGGCAATGGCCCTGAACAATGTCAGTTGTTCTTTGTGGGTCAAGGTTCCGTGTCTTTTATTAGCGCAGTCATTCAACTTCTCAACAGTCGGTAAAATGACTTCGTAGAGAGTCTCCTTTCTTATCGGGTTTTTGGCTCGGGAGACATTTCCATGTTGCTAAAATTGATATGATTTATTTTCGATTTTTAGTTAACGAAAACCATTTATGCTTGTTTGTTTGCTTTTAAATTTTTTTTTTTCAAATTGCAGTTTCTCCTACCTTCTCTGGCTCTGCCTTATCCTTTCTGCGGCTTCCTGTGGTCTCGTCGTTCCTGTGGTCTTGTGTTTTGGTGGGATCATCGGCTCGTAGTTCTGTGGGAGCGTGGGTTTGCCTCTCATGGTCGTGCGGTTGTCTTTCAATTTCTTGATAGTGAGGAAACGCCGATGGTAATTGAGAATTCGGACAAGGCCATGCCCACATATAGGAATACAGGTAGGCTGGATATGGCTGATACTTCTGAGGCTGGCATTGATGTAACATCGAGAGATCTGAATGGACATGTAGAATAGGGGGTAAGGTGTTGCCCATAGTTCGGTGGAATTGGTGAGGCGAAAGGTCGCGGGTAATTCTCGCGAAGGGATTACCGGTGTCGAAGGAGCAAATGATGCTGGTGCTGCGTCAAATTATATTGCACTCAAGCTATCAGCACCTATTTAACCAAAAGGCCGGAATCATGAAAAGAGTTGGACCAAGATAAGAGTCCACCAAGGAATAGATTCGACACTTTCCACTCTTTTTAGCAAACCAGGTGACTCTAGCATCTATGTCATATTGACGGCTCAAGTTTTAGACGGCTACTTGATAATGACGACTTCACTCATAAGCGGAACTACAGTGCAATTTTTATAATTGAAGCCGTCATTATCAGTGACGCAATAGTCCTGCATTTGGAAAATTCTCAAAGTCAATTCTTGAACCAAGACTCATTACATTTCAAAAATGCAATCTCCCCTCAGTTAAGTCATATTAGAGTCTTTTGTCCATGTCATCATGCTAGCTAGAACTTTTCAGGCAAATGAAAATTTACAAGTCCTCGATGCCGTCACTTCCTTTTGGGAAAAAGATGTAATTTTATCAGTAATCAGCGATTGGTGCGTAAAGATTAATTGGTCTGATTGGCTGGGAAGTGCCATCTTTTTCGTCCCAGTAGACAGCAGCATGGAATATAAGAAAATTCCACAAACACAAGGATGCTTGTGTCATCGAGAAAGGAGAAGCCATCGTGCAACCCCAGACGGCTGCACAGGGACTCGATGGTCTTCTTTAGCACCTATTTAGTATTTACAAATTTTTCATCATCAACGACCCTTTCGTGTCCCAGTGCACCGTTCATTTGGTCGACAAACTTCAGGATTCTACGGGGAATGAAACAACAGGCAGTGGCAGTTTATACGTTAAGTAATCCGATTTGAGAAACGAGTCACAAATTGAAACAAGGAAACAAGTCGGGAGACCACTGCCAGACGATTTCATAAAATCCATGATTAAGGATGCTGAGAAACCTAGACCCGAACAAAAACCCCAGAGCAAAAGGCCAGAAAAAACCAAACACGGAAGAAAAACCACTGGAATACATTTTGAGTCGCGTTGATTATTTTGAGTCGCCAGAAAATGACATCCCTCTTGAAGATTTGCTCCACGCATCAACGGTGTAATACAGGTAAAATTATCAAGAAACTAATCAAATGTGTAACTGATCCACTAAATAATCATATCCAACGATACTGATAATCTGTGTATGATCAACGCTTTCATCTGATATCCTGAAAACTTATACTGCATTTCCGGAGGCAACTGATACTTTCTATTATCGGTATTGTAATTTACCGTATTCTAATTATACACCATTTTCTAATTTGTGATTATAGCTATGATCGATTATCTTGCATGCCGCGGTAGATATGCCGTCCAGGATAACTGTATATAATCATCGATTTTATCATCGATTTAACTGTAAAACTGAGAAGTATTTAGACATAATAAGGCCAAGTCCGCCCAGGATTTTTTTTGACTTGGAATGAACAATTTGAATTGTTTACGGTTTGTTGTTATGACCGTTTGTTATTATTTGAGATCTTCAAATTAACCGTGATTATCCGTATTTTTTTTTACAGTATGCAGTATGTGTTCTGATCTGAAATTTATGCCGAACCGTAAAAGTTGCTCAAAGGGAGTAAATTATCTGTTTAGGGAGTAAATTTTGTTTTAAAAGAAACTAATTCGAGTAAATTTGTTTTAGAAAAAATTAACAAAACTTGAATAACTACAGCTGAAATAAATGTTATTTTCAAAAACAAAAATATGTTCCGGAAAAAGTTGCTTTATCAAACTATATGTTCGAATTTTGAAAAAAACTCGAAAAAAGGCCAAACTTATTTTTTTTATTTTAATTGAATTGATTGATAGAACTAAACTAACGAAGTTAGATACGAGTTTACTTCACAGTTTGATCAATTTGTTCACTTTGCAGGAAATGAGATCGTAGGCAGGAATCGAGATCAATGTTGGGTTGACAGGAATTGAGATCGAATTGAGATTGATGGCAAGAAATTGAGTCCGAAGTTTGGTATGTTTGACAGGAATTGAAATCGAAATTAGGTTACAGGTATTAAGATCGAAGTTGGTGACAGGAATTGAGAATGACAGGTATTTCAACTGGGCGCAGATCAACGTAGTAATTGAGATTGAACTTGCTGGTGACCAGCTTTTAAATGAAAGATATAAATTAAAACGTCACTACATATAAGCAAACATGTAAATGGAATCCGCAAACAAAATGCGGATTCTACTACCAATTTGCGGACTTTACTTACAATTTGCGGATTCCACTTACAATTTGCGGAATCCACTTTTAGTTGTGGATTCCGCAACAGCTAAATTTAACGATGCAAACGTCTTATCATTTGTTTGTGCATTCCACAAACTGCAGTTCTGGATTCCGCTAGTAAAGTTGCGGATTCCGCAAATTCGCCTATTTTTCGAGCAATTTTGAGCGGTACATTGTTTTAGGTATTTGTTTGAGGAATGCAAAACAGCAGAGAAGATCGAAGAAAAGTAGCAATGTTGCGGATTCCGCGACAAATCTGACTTTGGCCTGTTGCGGATTCCATTTACAATGCACAGAATGCACAGTTTGGCCTCGTAATGCTTTTTTAGGCTTTTAAAAAAAATTTAGACTGCCCTTCTCAAAATTAGTTTTTATTGGCGCCAAAGGCGGAGGATCCGCCAAAAATGGATATCTTAAAATAGTACCAAAGAAGAGGACCTGAAGAGGGAAGCTTCCCCCTCCCAATCCGCCACTGTTTCTTTCTGTAAGTCTTAATAATAATAACTACCCAGCTGAAACTCAATTTCAAAACTACTACAGGCAAAACAACATTATAAATCATATTTAATCAACATAAAAAATAAACTATAAAAATCAAAATGATAATAAAAAATCAAATTTTTTGTTTTCGTTTTTCAAAGAACAAAGTATATGACGATTGCTGCTATTAGAACAAAAGTGAACAGAACTGCGGTTGAAACTGCAACACACATCATCCTCTGAAACAAAAAGTTAAAAGTCAGTTGGACTGAAAGAAATCATAAGTTTCATATTAATACTATCATCAGCTGTCTTCATTTTTTCATTTAATACTTCAATAGAAAATTTTGTATCAATATGAGGCTTTACAATCTCCGACTGCTCTTTAAGGAATCTGAAAAAAAAGTTGGCAAGCAAAAATTCGATTGGAAAAATAATGAAAAATTTCAAAAAAATCTTTCTCACTTAAAAAGAAAAAACAAAGTGATTGATTTTCCTCAAGTATTTGGACCATTAGGCCAGGCTTTTTTCCCATTTCGAAAGCCATGTTAATGTGCAATTGGAATTGGAAACCTAAGTGAGCAACAGACATCCATTATTTGCAAAACTGATTAGTTTCAAACCTCCCAAAACATGATCAAATCAGAAAAAGCAAGCCATTGATATCTTATGAACAGTTTATATAGGTTATAAAAACCGTTACTTTCATCTTAAGTCAAAACCTTAGGTTGCCGAGTTGTCTGACATGTACAATAAGCGTGGTTTAGAAACGGAAAACACCAATTTATTTATTTAGTGAAAAAATCAATGATTTCATAAAATGATTTTCTTTCGCCAAAAACGATAAGGAAGGCCTGTGAACAGCAGATATGTATTCTTCAGGGCCTAAAACGAACATATTTTGCCTACTTTTTGCCATATTATTGACGCAGTAAAACTTTTCAGACTTTCGAAGAAAGGTTGAAGTATTGTGCTCGATGTGGTCTTTTTGTTCCGACTTTCGATACGAAAGTAACGGAATATTTGAGCTCGGGTGGGTTTTGTTCTTCAGACAAATTCCGACTTTTTAACTAGCAATTTTTGACGGTTTTTTAAATATCATTCAAAAGGTATTGTTGTCGTGAGCTTAAATTTTAAAAGATATTTCACTTGTGATCAATTTTCGAAAAGTTATGGGGGTTTAAAGATTGGCATTTTGGCCAATTTGTGTCAATCAACGCGCGATATATTTCGAGCTATTAACGCGTTAGCGGAGATTTAATCCGTCTTAGATATCGTTCCAAATTGGTTGAAGGAAGCTTACTTGCCATAATTAATAAGCTATGGAATCACTTTGAACGTTCTATGGCGTGTGGGGGGATGATTTTCACAAAATCTCAAATTGGAAAAAAAAGACTTTTTTTTCTGCATTTAATTTTTTCATGTTATTACTGCTCCAGAGACCTTAAAAGACAGTCGGAACATTCAAGACTTTACCCTGATACGAGCAGTCTTGTTTTATTTTGGAGACGAAGGTCTAATTTCGAGCCAGCCAGTTTTGAACGGAAAATTTTATGCCATCTGAAATGTCTTGAAGTCCTGCGGCTTTCTATTGCCATTTTATGTTTTAAATTTCTTTTTTTGCTAATTTATTGAAGCTTGAAAAATGCCAATAAAACCAATTTGCGACACTTAATGCACAATTTGCACGATTTGCTAAGTGATTGAGAAAACAATTTAAATTTCCCCCTCAGAGAAGTCTGAAAACGAACTATACATATACTAGCCTGAAAACATGTTCTACTGATTATTATTTGTTTTGTTCTCTTAAACGCGTAAGCCTTGTTTTAAATCACCTCATCAATTGTTTTAAACTGGAGCTAGGTATGCTAGTTGGTCTAATTATTGTTCCGACTTTCGATACGAAAGTAACGGAATATTTGTGATCGGGTGGGTTTTTTTCTTCAGACAAATTTCGACTTTTTAACTAGCCATTTTTGACGGAACTTTTTATATCATTCAAAAAGTATTGTTGTCATGCGCTTAAATTTGAAATTATATTTCACCTGTGATCTTTTTTTGTCAAGTTATGGGGGTTTAATGATTGGCTTTTTGGCCAATTAGGGACAATAACGCGCGATTTATTTCGCGCTATTAACGCGTAAGCTGAGGTTTAATTCGTCTTTGAAATCGTTTCAAATTGATGCAAGGAAGATTATTTGCCATAGTTGATTATTTAATAGGAGCGAAATCTATTCTTTTTATGGCGTGTGGGGAGAAATTATATCGCGTTTAGAAATTTCAATTTTATTTTGTTACATTTAATATGTTAATGATATTTATGTAATTACTGCTCTATAAACCTTAAAAGACTGTCGGAACATTCAGGACTTCGCCCTGATACGAGCAGTCTTGTTGTAATTATTATAGTAGATGCTACTATATGACTTTGAAAGTTGACAAGGTGTTGGAGGAGATAAAAGAAATTAAAAGTTTCATTTGTTTTGATGTCTTAACAAGCGTTTACTATTTTAAAAAGGTTTATGAAAACTGTTTTATCGTTTTGCTTTAAGAAGTATTCGGTATAACCAGGACTTTACCTTGATATAAGCAGTCTTGTTATTTTTGTATGTTAAATTTAGATAGTTCTAGTCTAAAATGCGCTTAAATTTGAAATTATATTTCACCTGTGATCTTAAAACAGGTACTCGCGTTAAAACAGGATGCAGTTTCCAAAAAAAATTGAAAAAACTAATTTTTTTTTCTGAATTTTTTAATTTACCTTGATACAAGCAGTCTTGTTATTTTTGTATGTTGAATTCAGCTAGTTCTAGTCTAAAATGCGCGGGGTTTATGGGTAAGTACTCGCGTTAAAAAAGGATGCAGTTTCCAAAAAAGATTGAAAAAGAAACTAGTTTTGTTTCTGAATTTTTTTTAAAAATCAGCCCCCACTCCCTTTATAAAACAAAAAATGTTTTTCGCATAAAGCAAAAAAATAATAAGACCAAATAAGACCAAAAAGACCTCAATTTAGTAGGGAGCAATTCGTAAGACGACGGATTAATGCTCCGCTTACGCGTTATTAGCTCAAAATATATCCCGCATTATTTGTCCCAAATTTGTTAAAATGACAATCTTTAAACTCTTATTACTTTGAGGCAGATAAATCTGGTTCAGACATTTTCCCAATTGAAATGAGGCATGCTAAGGGTTGCGACTAATGTTAGCGCTTTACGAAATCTAAAACTTTGCACATAAAAGTTTACTCAGCGATTGTTATTTAACACCCTTGGGTTTTCAGTTTAATTAATGAACCCCAACACGAGCAATTGCCAAAGTTCGTTTCCGTAGAAAATTACAGGTGAAAATTTCAGGCGTTCGATAACGCTGATGAGCAAAAACATTGTTTTTTGAAACCTGTAAACATATTCGATCTTTCTAATTACGCTTTCATTTTGGTTTTCACCATGATATTTTTTTATCGGATAGTGGATTTGACTTTAAATGTTTTCACGTGATTGAAGACTTTACGATTCTATTCGTCTATAAAAGCCACATTTTGAGACTAATTGATGCTGAGACTTAAGTCAGTTGAAATAAGATTTTTGAATTCCCACTGGTCATTAAGAAATTGCTTGCAAAAGTCACGAACCCTGTTGCAAAAAAACTACAGCAACGATTGAGTTTTATAATGCTTTTGATTCCTCGACCCTTTGGTACTAACCGAGCGTCTCTGCTGCTGACGTTTGATCTTCCTGGTGGTGGCGGTGAAATTATTGGCTTCTGTTTCGATGTCACCTGATTAAAAAGTAACCAAAGTTCCGAAAACTTCTACGCATAATCTGTAAAAACCAGTTTAAAGTTCATATGTCAATTTTGACATGAACAGTTATTTTGAGAAATTTTTATGAAAATTTTGAAGGAGCTCAAGTTATAACTTTGAGCGTGCGAGTAATGTATTTTCACGTGTTTTGCATTGGTGGTGTACTCACTTGTTTGGCCCTGTAAATTGATCAGTCGGTTCTCTCTTTCGGCTATTTTCTGCAGATTCTTCGTCATCACAGCCTTAGTCGTATCCACGTCCGCCTGAACTCTATGGAAAATTTTTTCTGAAGAGGCTCTTTGATTGCGACAGCAGCATATTTTCAGGATGTTTCCGTTAAAAACTCTACTTTTGAGATCACCGCAATTTGTATGAAAAACTCAAGAACGTTTATAAATATTCCGTTACCCGGGTTGACCTCCATAGATCGAAATTGGAAATCATACAATTCCATAAACTAAATCTATGAAAAAATGCTAGTCAAACAAATTTCATAAACTTAGCTAAAATGGTGTCATCGAGTTTTTGAAGCACTTTTTTTTCTTGTTTGGCATAAAAGTCGGTTATCGTATTAAATAAAAAAAAAATTGTCGAAAAAGGCTTATCATATAATTTCAATCAATGAAAATTGTACGACTAGCATTTTTTTGATGGCGACAAGAAAACTTTCAAGAAAATTGCTTCAAAATTTTTTTTTCAACCGCAAATCGAATTTTGTACTCAAACAAACATTTTCCAAAAAAACATTTTGCGTGCAAAATTTAATAATTTGTGTGCACAACATAATCCTGGATACACAAAATTGGAGTTTTTTTCCGTTTCTCTGGATAGCTTATTTTTCCAAAAACGCTTAAAAATTCTATTTCTTTTGTATGACTTGATCAATGCCTGATAAATGAAAAACTCATTAAAAAAGTTTGATACTTTCACTATAAGATTTGTATCAGAAAACTCATACAGAACTCAGGTCGTTTTCAATACATTGTAAATACGATCAAACCTTTGGCGATTCTAGTTTTGAGTGAACCAAGTTTTTTTTCACTTGTGTTCGGTCACGAATACATCCCAAAAATATTGACAAATTAAATTTAAAAAATCTTTTTTTTTGGTTTATGGGAAAATGCTACTCATACAATTTCCATGAAAAATCATTTATCCTAGACCGTTCATCTTCAACAGTTGCGACAAGAACCCGCCAATAAATTCTGTATTGCATCTTTTGCCAAAAGTCAATTTTTATCAGCTTTTAATTCAGGCGTAGATCCATAAAAATATAACTGTTGTTTTCGATAATTCGAAACATAAAAATTAGACGCGTAAGTACAAATGAAAATAGCCAAAATAAACCAAAAAATGCTTCAAACCAATGATTGTAGAAAACAGAAGAAGAGAAAATATTCAACACGCGTCGCAAATCAGGCACCCTATTTTTAGTAAAAAATTTTCCAATTTTGCCAATTGTTGAATCATTAGTTTATTTTTTTCTCAATTACAGTTCTTGTTGACACTAAACAAACAACAGCAGCAAAGCTTACACAAGGTTCTTACATTTCTGTCAAGAAAACATGATCAAAATAACGAAGTGAAATGTTATTGCCTTATACTGAGAGCAGAGTGTACTAGCACGTTATGAACTATATTTCAGGTCGTTACAAATCATGATCATAAAGTTATACATAAACAGACCGAAAACTTTTTGACAACTATTGATTATAATTGAGTCAGAAAAATGGGCTCGAAATGATTAAATGATTTTTTCATTTTGTTACGAGTGTGGCTTGTACAAAACACGCTATGAAAATTCATTGCAGTGTAACTAAGGTAAAAAAGCGCTTTTAGTTGTGAGGCTATTAGGTTTGTTGATGCTTGAAACCGCTTCCATTTGGAGCCAAAAGATTAAATTGAGCTCTTTTACACATACTTATATTTAAATCCGAGCTTGACGCGTCCTGAAATGAGTCAAATGAGCTTAAGCTAGAGGCTAACAGTGTAGAAATGAAAAAGTAGGCACCCTGTACTTTGGCTTCGAAAAATTGTATGCTTAAAGCTTTTCAGTTTAAAAAATACTTGCTGACGCTGCAAGAAAACACATAGGTCAAAACAACTGAACTGGTTTCACTATCTTTTGCAGATCCTCTGTCATCACAGCCTTAGTCGTGCCCCCTTCCGACTGATTTCTACGGAAATTCTTTGTGTCTGAAGCCTCGTTGTTCGTTACAGACAAACAGTTTCAGAAATTTCCGTTGAATACTATTTTGCGCTCACCGAAATTTGGATTGCTTGAGTTTTTTCTAAACTTCGTCTTTGATTTGCTTCCAATTCAAAAATAAAATATTAAAGCTTAAGCTATTTTTTCCAATAAGCCAAAATATAAAAATCAAAACAGTGGTTGCAGAAAACAGAAACAGAGACAGTAGTTCAACACACTGGCGGAATGAAGCTTTGATTGCAACTCAGAAACCCTACTTTTGGTAAACATTCTCACAGTAACTAAACCCAAGGGCGGATTTAGGGGGGTGGTGGGGGGGGGGGGGGGGGCGGACGCTCTCCCTTCTCAGGGATTCGACACCCTGACGACCCAAAGGGACCCCCTTTATACTTTTTTGAGATATCAATTTTGGCGACGGACCTTAAAAGATTTTCTAAAGGCGCTTCGGTGCCAATAAATAGTAAATTTAAGGGGGGTGCAAAAACAGGCCAAAAATTTCAGCGTGCCTGCCGCGCAGAAATTTAAGCCAAAATAGAGTCTTTGTAGTGCTTTGGGAGAGCTCGGAAAGTCAATTTGGTCGACCTAAAAAAAAAGGTCGACAAAATTTTCGAAATGTTTCCGAAAATCCGCCGCCCCCCTCGAGATAATCCTAGATCCGCCTATGGCTAAACCTTAAAGTAAATGAGATTAAAAGGTAAATTTTGGGCACATTATAGAAATTTGTCAAAAAAATAATTGCGTTTTTTTTTAACACGTACTGACTACTTATATTTGCGCCAAATGCGCCTTTAGAAAAAAAAATTGACATGCACCCTAACGGTCTATCGTCCTTAAAGTGATGTCGTGGTAAATTACTACCAAAAAGAGGATGAATTTTTTAGTAGCTAAAGACAACACCCCCCCCCCCCCTAGCTATACCACTGCTTGATGAGGTTATTTTGTTCACCTGGTGACGGCGTCATCGCTCTTGGTGCTCCTGTTTCCACGTACTGTCCCGTAACTCATTACTAAATATTTCTATTGCATCATAACTGAAAAGTTATTTAATATGTAAGTTAGTGTGAATTCAAGTAGTTATTTACTCTCTCGCTAGATTAAAAGAGCTCTTTGTTTTGTTTTGTTTTGTTTTGATTCATGACGCAAGACTCGTAAACTAGAACAACTGAAGCTCCATTTGTTCATCAAAGTGAACCTTGGATGTTCGACGAATTCCAAAAACAAATCATCTTCTTTGTTGGTTGAAAAACACTGTGTTGGCATTTATTGTCTCGATAAAACAAAACTAACCGGGATCATAGTTCAAATAGTAGAGAGATGCAACTATCAGAAAAACAATAAGAACCCGGGAACGTATGTTAAAAGCAGTCAATTGACAGAGTAGAAAAATACGAAGCATCGTCAAAACAACAAAAAAACTAACATGGAAATCAGGCAGCATAGCACTCATACATCGGCTCTTTTTCCTTCCATATAAAGAGTATTGTACTTTTCATGGTGTAATTAGTCTGCATTTCAACATAACAGTCAGACAGTTAGAACAGAATCTTTTAAACTTTATTGTAGGTGGCGAGGAGGATGGTAGTGTGGACAAAAAAGATCCCAAGCAGTCATCCTTCTTTTTAAATCAGAGTGCTATCTTTTGTTCGTGATGCAAGAATTGAAACACAAATGCTAGTACACTAGACAAATTGAAAAAAGCGAACTTGGTTAAGTTGCTCTAATTGACTAATACCCGCATCCAAAATTAGACGTAAGAAATCGATTTGGATCAAGTTAACATCCCCCCCCCCCCCCTTATAGACAAAGTAATGATCCTCCACCCCAGCGCTTAAATTAAATTAAATTTGCTAAGCGCTGCATGAAGAATGCTCGATTCTGATTGGCTGAAAACTTAGAACCAAGTTAACATCCTCCCCGTAAATGTGTTTAGGTGGGAGGATGTTAACTTGGTCCATCGATTTTAATGGATTATTTTGATGATTTTTTGATAATTATAATTCATTATGATTAACAAAATTAGGTGTTTAAAGGATTTATAAGGTGTCACAACAATATATTTGAATTATATCATATGGGTTATTCAATTTCATGAAATAAAAAACTCATAGAGATCCTTTGCTATTACTTGAACGGTTCCCGCAGTAGGTGAAAAATAAATCTTCCGAATCAATCATGAAACTAAAACAATTTGCTGATGTTTTGGTTCTTAAAAAAGCTTAAAATGCGCATCATGAAACAACTCTAATGTCGAAGAAATAAACGTTAAAAGTTTGAATTGGCTCGAAAACTTTAAATTTAACTTCCTTGTGTTTCACAAGAACCAACGTCTAGGTAAAAAAAAACATAAAACATTGGCAACTCAGATGCAATTTCGAAGACAAAATGGGCAAACAAAAAGGATTATAATCGATTATAAGCGATTATAATGGATTTTTGTGCAAAACTTATGAGTTGGAAATTGGGATTAAACTAATGAATTATAATAGCAAGCAATATAAACCACGTGGTACAGCTGCTAAATCTAATCAATAAGAAAGAGCGTTAGGTCGGCCTTGGTCTATTCAAATTACGCAATTTTTTTCCAAACAATGAGAAGGCCGAAATAGTAGGCCTAAAGGAATGTAATTATAATTTATTCCAAGATACATGTTAAACCAAGTAAAAGCATTCACCATTGTTGAATAGTTAACTATTTTTTTCTCAATAATAGTTCTTGTCGCTACTAGAGAAACACCAGCAGCAAAGCTCACCCAAAAAGCTTACACATTTCAGCCAGGATAATAAGATCCAACTTAGTAAGTGAAGTGTTATTGCTTTACACTGAGTGCGGAGTGTACTAGCACGTTATGAACAATAATTCAGGTTGTTAACTGAACAATGAACACAAGTTTTACACAAACAGACAGAAAAATATTTCGGCAACTTTTGATTACATTTGATTCAGAAAAATGGGCTCAATTTTATTACTACTTAAATCCGAGCTTGACCCGCGTTGAAAAGAGTCAACTTATTTTAAGCAAAAGGCTAACAGTGTAGAAACAAAAAAAGCACCTAGTAGTTTTGCTTCGAAATATCATATGCCTAAAGTTTTTCAGGTGAAAAAATTTGCTGACGTCGCAAAATAAAAACACATCGAAAAAACAACTGAATCAGTTTTACTATCTTCTGCAGATTCTCTGTCATGAAAGCTTGAGCCGCACCTACATCCGCATCCGACTGATCTCTACGAAAAAAATTGTTTGAAGCCTCTTTGCTCGTTACAGCAAAATTGTTTCAGAAAATTCCATTTAAAACTGTTTTTGCTCTCTCGAAATTTGTAGAAAGAAACTGCCCGTGAGTAAATACTCGGTTACTCTCTTCAAAAACTGCAACATGAAACCCGCCAGTAAGTTTTGGATTGCGTAGTTTTTTTCAGCTTCTAAAACAGACGTAAAACAAAAAAAATTCTAGCTGTTGTTTCTGATAAGCAAAAACATAAAAAGTAGATACATAAGTACAAATAGAAGTCGAAGTGGTCAAATTACACAAAAAAATGTTTGAAAACAGTAGTTGTTGGAAACAGGGGTAGAGAAAATGGTCAACAGACGGGCGGAAGGAAGCTTGCATTGCAACTCAGAAACCCTTCTTTGGGAAAAAATCTCCACAATATCTAAATTTTTTTTAAAACAATGAGACAAAAATGCCAATTTTCGGTCACTTTTGGAGATTACATAATTTATATTTTTCCAAAGGTCATTTTTAATAAGCTTCTAAATCAGGCGTAAAATGATAAAAATCTGGCTGTTGTTTCTGATGAAACAAAAAACATAAAAAGCATTTTTTATCAAAAAATAATTGCGTTTTATTACGGAAAAATTGCGTTTTCTTACCAAAAAATTGCATCTGGTTACCAAATTACTGCATAATTTTAGCGCAATTCTAAATGTATGTTTGCACCAGATGCGCTCTCGGGAGAAAAATAATTGGTCCAGATTAAACCTAGCGTACTATCAGCCAAAAGATGATGTCGTCGTAAAATACAACCAGAAGGGAATGAACTTTTGGTGGCTAGGGTGCCCTCCCCTAAATATACCCTTGTTTGAAGAGGTTACTTTCTTCACCCGGTGATGGCGTCATTGCTCTTGGTGCTTCTGGTTCCACAAACTATCTCGTATACCATTTCTAATTATTTCTTTTGCATCATAACTCAAAATTTACTTAATCTGTAAGTTATTGTGAATTCAAGAAGTTATTTACTCTTTTGCTAGTTTAAAAGAGCTCTTTAATTTGTTTTGATTCAAAAAACAAAACTCATAAACAAAGTTAACTGAAACATGCTTTGAACCTGAGATATTCGATGAATTCCAAAAACGAGTCATCTTCTATATTTAATAAAGGCATGAAATCACATGGTACCGCTGCTATTTCTAATCAATTAAAAGGAGAGTTACGCTGGCCTTGGTCAATTCAAATTACCCAGCGTAACGCTCCTTTTAATTGATTAGAAATAGCAGCGGTACCAATAGCAGCGGTACCAATAGCAGCGGTGTCAAATTTTTTTCCATTAGATGAAAAAACCTACATAGTATGGTTAAAGGATTGTAACTATTTTTGTTGCATCCATAATCTTAAATAAGGAGGAAGAGTTGCCAATTGTTAGATACCCAGTATGTCTTTTTCTGAACTACAGTTCTTGTCGCTACTAAACAAACAGGAGCAGCAAAGCTTACACATAATTTACACATTTCAGTCAAGATAACAGGATCAACCTTACTGAGTGTAGATTTATTGTCTTACACTGAGTTCGTAGTGTACTACCACTTTATGAACTATAATTCAGGTCGTTACCTGAGTAGTGAAAACATATTTTGCGGAAACAGAGAGAACCATTTTACGACAACTTTTGAATATATTTGAGTCCGAAATAGTCTCAAATTTATCAAAAAAATTTTTTGCCTTAAAATGAATGAGGCTTGTACTAGGTTTGTTATGAAACTTCAATTTTGGGTAAATCAAAAGGTAAATTGAATTCGCTTAGTTGAGAGGCTATTAAGTTTGTTGAGGCTTGACATGATTTCCATTGCGAAATAACTTGATGAAATTGAAAACTCACATAGAGATTAAACACTTAAATCAGAGCTTGACGCGTGCTGAAATGAGTGAAACAAGCTTAAGCAACAGGCTAGCCGTGATTGAACAACAACGGAGGCCTTGTACTTATGCTTTGAAATATCGTATGCTTTAAGTTTTCAGGTTAATTTTGCTGGCGCTGCAAGAAAACACTTGAGGCAAACAACTGAAACAGTTTCACTATCTTCTGCAGATTCCCCATCTGCACGGCCTTGGTCGTACCCACGTCCGACTGAACTCTACGGAAAATTTTTTTACCTGAAGCATTATTGTGCGTTACAAGAAAAAATTTCAGAAATTTTTGTTGAAATATATTTTTGCGCTCACCAAAATTTGTATAAGCAAAAACTACCGTGCGTAAAAATTTCTGTTATTTTCTTCAAAATTTGCAACAGAAACCCCATCAATTATTTTTACTAGACTGCATTTTTTTTCAAATCTCATCAAATTCTCGTCTTCTTAATCTGCTTCAAATTTTTGTCTCCTCAAATTTCAAGCGATCAAGTATACCGGATACGCAGAGTGGGTGAGGTACTTGAGAAACATCTGAGGTTTCAATTTCTGTCGAAAGTCCACTTTAAGTTTTGTCACGTGTCTTGTTTTCACAGAAGTATTTGTTTTTTTCAAGACAACAATACCTCCGAATGATATAAGAAATGTCAAAAAAGAATAATTAAGATATCAAAATCGGTCTGGAAAAAGATCACCCGAGCACAAATACTCCGTCATTTTCTTTGAATAAGTCGGAACAACGAATTAATCATTTAAACGGATCTTTGGCGAAATCAATAAATGGCGAAATCAAATAAATGGATATTTTGAATGGATTCTTTGTTGGTATTTTCCTGAATGTTTCCCATTTTTTCAATGATTTATCATTTGCTTAAAGGTTGTTTAAAATGTCATCACAATCATTATGCATGCTACAAGTACACCTTTTAGACATTACCAATTCATTTCCAACTCTTCTGTTTTAATAACTCTCAATAATGAGATGTGT